AAAACCATTCTTAAGTATCCTTAAAGAATTATTAGAAAACATTCTGGTTTTTACCTTTGGATAAATAAATATATGCATAAATATACTCACATACTTGCTGATGTGGGCAGAGAAAATTTCAGGAGGGATAAAAGGAAAATGTTGAATATGTTTACTGTGAGTGGTGCTGGTAGGTAAAATAGGGAAATCTTTTTTTTTTCTGCAGTACTGGGGATTGAACCCAGGACCTCACATATGGTAGGCAAGCACTCTACATTCCCAACTAGGGCCAAAGAAAGTTATATGTCTCCAGCAATAATTGGGTCCACATATCTCCTTCAGAGTTTACTAATTGGCATAGGAGTAACTAGTCCTGCTATCTATCTACCTAACCCGTCACCTTGTCATTCCCAGTTGGAAGTTGTCAGCCTAGTGGAGAATGAGGTGGCTTTGCTCTGCCTTCTTTCCCAGGCAGAGGGATAAGGAGAGGTGGAAGGGGGGATATGCTCATCTTGCCATAAAATCAATAGAGGGCAAATTCAAAGATTTAGAATTATCTGTAAGAAGGGATTGATCAGAGCTGTGGTTGTGGCTCAGTGGTAGAGCACTTGCCTAGCATGTGTGAGGCACCGGGTCCGTTCCTCAGCACCACGTAAAAATAAATAAATAAAATAAAGGTCTGTCAACATCTAAAAAATATTTTTTTAAAAAAGGGATTAGTATCTCATTCCCTGCTAAATAGTTACTGATCTGTGGGCTCACCTTGCTGTTACCCAAAGTGGAAATGAGCAAGGGGGAATATACATAAATTACATACTTAGAGAGAGAGAGAGAGAGAGATAACAGATTCATGTGCACATAATGCCTAGCTTATTGATTTTAAACTTAATAATTTCATTGCTTCTAAAATGTCTTCCCACTTCCATGTAAAAAGTCCAGAATATTATTTATGGTAGTCTACTGAAGAATACTTAATTCTGCTTTTGTAATGCTACTTTTAAAGCACTGCATGTGTAGTAGCTACTGTTTTTGAAGTTTTTGTTTTGTTTTGTTTTTGCTTTTGTTTTTGATACCAGGAATTGAGCCCAGAGTCTTTTAATAACTGAACCACATCACCATCTCTTTTTATTTTATTATTATTTTTTTTAAATTTTGAAACAGGGTCTCACTATGTTGCTTAAAGTCTCACTAAATTACTGAGGCTGACTTTGAACTTGTAATCCTCTTGCCTCAGCCTCCTAAGCCACTGGGATTACAGGCATATGCCATCGTGCCCAGCTAATAGCTATTTTTTAAAGCAATGAAATACATACTGATTTTGAAAAGGAAAATCCAGTAGCCATATATCTGAAATTTGGTGAGGAAGAGAGATGAGATAGATGCTTCCTGAGCAAATTTTATAGGAAGGTGTTTAAATTTTGAACTAAAGTATAAAGAATTTTCAGAAGGGAGATTAAATAGTACCCGCTGTCCAATCCTAAGTGAAGAGCAAATTGCTTTTAAAAAGTTCTTGGAGCCGGGCATGGTGACACACTCCTGTAATCCCAGCAACTCTGGAGGCTGAGGCAGGAGGATCAGGAGTAAAAGCCAACCTCAGCAATTTAGCAAGACTCTGTCTTGAAATAAAAATAAAAAGGGCTACGGATATGGCTCAGTGGTTAAGTGCCCCTGGATTCAATTCCTGATACCAAAAACAAACAAACAAACAAAAAAAAGTTCTTGGGCTGAGGGTTTAGTTCAGTGGTAGAGTGTTTGCCTAGCATGTGTGAATGTGTGAGCCCTGGGTTTGATTCCTAGCACTGCCAAACAAAACTAACTAACTAAACCTCTATGCCTTGCTGCTAAAAAATCACTTTAAATAATAAAGAAAGTTTGACTATTCTGGCTCTATAGTTAAATTTTTTGAAATCTTAAATATTGAAAATCTTGTTTTTATTTATATCAGCTAACTGAAAGTTATTTATGGGGTCAAGTAAAAATATTAGTGAATCTGGAAATGATAATGTAATTATAGTAAGCAATGGTCTTGCTAGTCAGTTTATATTCCTTCAGATATAACTACAATGAATGATTCTAGGAATAATAATGTGAGTTGATTTTTTTTTTTACCTATTAAGTCATCTTGTGTCCTAAAAATCACTTAAAATCACTTCTGTGTGTTTGAGAATTGAAGTAGTTGTGTTTTATTGTTTCCAAACTATACTGAACACAAGTAGGGCTTGATTGAGGTAAACATTAGCCTCTTCAGTAATGATTACCAGCCTCAAGGCAATGGGTACCTTGCTGCTTTGATCACAGCAATAGATTTTCTTCTCCCTTGATCCATGATCTCAAACTTAAACCCTGGATCACCTATACTCATATTTTTCTATTTTTACCCTGATCTCATTGCTTAGTATATAAACCAATTCCATCTAAGCCCTGATGTTTCTTGTTTCATTAAAATCCTGAAGGAAGCAAGAGAAGACGTGCTATCACAACTATTTAACATTGTTCTAGAAGTTTTAGCCACTGCTACAAGACCAAAAGAGGGGCTGGGGATGTGGCTCAAGCGGTAACGCTCTTGCCTGGCATGCGCAGGGCGCTGGGTTCGATCCTCAGCACCACATAAAAATAAAATAAAGATGTTGTGTCCACCGGAAAAAAAAGACCAAAACAGGTGGGATAGGGAGGAAATAAATTATCATTATTAGAAGAATTTAGAGACCATGCAATTCTATATGTAAAATTCATTTTGGTGGTTAAGAAGTAAATGAGTGTAGTGTTCCTGAAACAACCCAACAGCATCCTAGGAAGAAAAGATCCCATTCAGAGAATTATACACTGTACTAAAAAAAAGTTAACTTTTTAAAAGAAATATATAGGTCCAATATAGAGAAAACTACAGATCTTTAGTGAGAGATGTAAAAGATTTGAGTAAATGTAGATATGCCAAGATCATATGTTAGAAATACAGAATTGTGGATTCACTCCTAGTTATTGTAGTGGTATTAGAAATGCTATTCTGAATACTATTTGGTGGTTGCAAAAATGATTCTCAAATTTTTCAGAAAGAATAAAGGAGAAATAACCAAAATAAACAAATTAAAATAAATTGAAGCTATTTACTTGCTAAATACTACAATATTATTACTACCAGTAATTATGACTGCTTTATCGTCACTTAAATAATCTGAACAGTGGAAAAGGGTGGAAAATTCAAAAGCAAATCAATGAATGGATGCAAGTATACTATAGGTGAAAAGTAACATTTAATTTAATGAGGAAAAAATATTAAACATTTGAATAAAATCATACTTATAAATCACAACAACATACACACAAAAATTCCAAATGATAAAAGACTTAAATGTCAAAACAAAACTATTCAAGACCATCTTTCTAAACAGAAAGAGTAATTACTTACATAATATTAGGGATAGGAAAAGTCTTCCTTTGAATGGCTGCAAATGTTGAATATATGATGGAAAAGATCAGCAGATCTGGCTGTGTAAATATTAGCTTTTTTTTTTTCCTGGTTGTTTTTTTTTTTTTTCTGATACATGCTTGACTGGTACAATACCACTGAGCTACATCCCCATCCCTAATTTTAGCTTTTTTTTTTTTCTTTTTAAAAGAACCAGTTCCTTTATAAAGGTCTGTTGCTTTATAGTCTGTGACATGATATAAGATACATAACTAGTTGTTCCACCAAAATTACTCTTTGTAATAGTTCAATTCTTAAATGGAAACAATCCTTTTTTCTAAGTGCCACTTGGGATTTCATATCCCAGTTTGGCAAGATTTTTTTTTAATTTTGTCATAACTTTCACTTGAATATATTTGAGATTTCCTTCAAATATCACAAATATGTTTAAATTAATGATGTATAGATTTTGTGAAGAGAATAGTAGAATATATTAGTTCTATTGGTATTAAATATACTAGCATGTGGTCTTTCTAATGTGATATTAACAAGCCCATTTTAGATATTGGTATCTGAATTGAAGGTAGCGTCTAACAGAACATTTGTCTGCTATATTAATAAATAGCTCTCTCTACTTCACAGCTTCTTCCGGTCACTTTACTAATTTATCAGAATACCTACATGTTGTAAAATCCAGCTACCTATGGCACTCTTGCCCCAGTTGAGCTTACTACTTTTTTTCTCTCTTTTCAGGTATCTGGCATAATTTTGTTCTTGCCCTCTTGGGTATTTTAGCTCTTGTTCTACTCCCGGTAATTCTCTTGCCATTTTACTACACTGGAGTTGGGGTGCTTATCACTGAAGTTGCTGAGGTAAATAATGGATTACTGGTACTTGGGGCACTCTTTCTCCAGATGATATGATCTAATACTTAGCATTTAATATCTGGCATTTTATTCAAGTTCTCATACACAGAATGCTCAGTTTCTTCTGAAGAAATTACTGCAGTTCTTTCAAATCTAAATATAATGTTGGGAAATACTTTCACTCACTTTTTCTTTCTTTCTTTTTCTCTTTCTCTCTCTCTCTCTCTTTGTTTCTCTCTGTCTTTTGCTTTATCTTTCTCTCTTTGTCTCTCTTCTTTGTCTCTCTCTCTTTATCTTTCTCTCTTTATCTCTTTCTTTGTCTCTCTTTCTTTGTCTCTCTCTCTCTTTCTCTCTCTTTCTTCCTTCCCTTCCTTTCTTTCCTCCCTTCCCTTCCTTCCTTCCTTCCTTTTTATTGTGACTTGAGGATTCAACCCAAGACACTCTACCACTGAACTATATCCGCAGCCCTATTTATTTATTTATTTATTTTGAGACAGATTTTTACCAAATGGCCCAGATTTCTGATCCTCCTACCTTAGCCTTCTGAGTTGTTAGGATTATAGGTATGTGCCACCATGTCCAGCTCTTCTATTCTTTTAAGGTATTTTTTAAAATTATTTTTTAGTTGTAGTTGGACACAATACCTTTATTTTTATTTTTATGTGGTGCTGAGGATTGAACCCAGTACCTCACACATGCTAGGCAAGCACTCTACCACTGAGCCACAACCCCAGTCTAAGGATTTTTTTTTAATGTGTCTACTGCTGGGGTTTTGTTTGTTTTTTTTTTTTGTTGTTGTTGTTGTTGTTGTTGTTTGTTTGTTTGTTTTGCAGTACTGAAGATTGAACTCAGGAAAGCTCTACCACTAAGCTATATCCCTAGACCTTTTTATTTTGTATTTGGGGACAGGGTCTCGCTAAGTTGCAGAGACTGGCCTTGGACTTGTGATTCTTGTGCTTCAGCCTCTGAGTCACTTGGATTATAGGCATGCACTTCTAAACCCAACAGATATAAAGGTTTTATAATACTAATTTGAGTATCAAAAGGTTTTGCCTTTTAAAAATTCCATGGAAATTGTTTTGTTCTGAGTTACAAAGATAGTATCAAGATTATCTATCTCCATGTATTTTGTTAATAAAATTAATTGTTTACATTTACTGTTAATTTTTATACCTCTGCTTTTGAGACAAATGTCATTTCTCCTAAGTAGTAAGAAAGATGAAACCTAAGCTATCCAGACAAAACATTTTATAGGAGTTTAAGTTAATATTTTCAACTTTGTATTTCATTCCCTTATACATGACTACTATAATTGCACCAGATCTTCTCTTCAGACATTTTTAAAGAGGAAAATTGCTTTTGTGAGCTTACCTGTTTATAGTGCTGATAGTATTGTCTGCATATTTGGGATTATATTTATATACGGACTTATAAAATTATATGTATTTTGAGAATATGGGAAAGTTTCCCCAAAATATGGTAAAAGCTGTGTGTGTGTGTGTGTGTGTGTGTGTGTGTGTGTGTGTGTATGAGAGAGAGAGAGAGAGAATATGAGGCTTGGTATTGAAACCAGGGCCTCACATATGCTAAAAATTCACTCTCCCAGTCCTTTGTCATTTTAGTCTTAATGGTCAGCAAGTGGATTTTTTTTATTGTGACAAAGTCAAAATCTTGGAGACTTAGAGAAAGCAACTGTAATTTTTGGATTTTATTTAGGTAATTTTCTAGGACTATAGGTTTTAGATTCAAATCTGGATTATTTTCTGCATTTAAAAAATATTCTACTTAATTGACTTCATGTCTTTTACTATTGTTTGCTCAAACTAATCATAGCTTGTCTTCACATGTTGTCTGATTTGTTTTTTCCCTCTTCCCAAGGACTCTCCTGCCATTGGACCCAGAGGCCTTTTTGTGGGAGACCTTGTCACTCATCTACAGGACTGTCCTGTTACTAATGTGCAAGATTGGAATGAATGTCTAGATACTATCGCCTATGAACCCCAAATTGGTTATTGTATAAGTGCCTCAACTTTACAACAGTTAAGCTTCCCAGTTAGAGGTATGTGTATTTTGTCAGTGAAATATAATGCTTTGAACACAACTACCTTCTATTCACTAATCCTTAGACCATGTCTATAGATTTATTCTCTTCTAATATTTTTAAAGCAAGTCAGCAAAATAAACAAGCCCAAACTAAGCATTATTCTTGGTAAACTGGATACTAAATATATGTTTCCTTTATTGTATATTATTGTTGAACTTCTAATTCATAATATCATATTTGATTTTTTTCAGGGGAGGCGTACCAGGGATTGAGCTCAGGGGCACTCAACCACATAGCCACATCCTCAGCCCTATTTTTTGTATTTTATTTAGAGACAGGGTCTCACTGAGTTTCTTAGCGCCTTGATGTTGCTGAGGCTGGCTTTGAACTCACAATCTTCCTGTCTCAGCCTCCCCAGCCCTTTGGATTACAGGCGTGTGCCCCCACGCCTGGTTTATATTTGACTTTTAGAATTACAAAATTCTTTCTGTTCTTAGAAAATTTGCAGTGGCACACACTTAAAATCCCAGTGACTCTGGAGGCTGAGGCAAGAGGTTTGCAAGTTTGAGGCTAGCCTCAGCAACTTAGCAAGACCCTGTCTCAAAATAAAAATAAAAAGGATTGGGGACACAGCACAGTGGTAGAGTGCACCTGGGTCCAATCTTTAGTACACCACTCCTCTCACCCCAGCACATGCCTGTAATCCCAGCTACTCAGAGGCTGAGATAGGAGTGTCGTAAGTTCAAGGTGAGTCTGGACAATTTAGTGAGACCTTGTCTCAAAATAAAATTTTAAAAATGGGCTGGGATAGCCAAGTCATGGAACCAGTCTAGGTGCTTGTCAAGAGATGAATGGATGAATAAAATGTGGTATATATACTCAGTGGTGTTCTACTCAGCCATAAAGAAGAATGGAATTGTGGTATTTTACTATAAATGGATGGAACTGGAGAACAACATGCTAAGTGAAATAAGCTAGACAGAGAAAGTCAAGGGTTGAATATTTTGTCCCATATACAGAATCTAGACCAAAATAAAGAGGAGAAAAATGGGGGATCCAATGAAAATTAAAGGAAGATCATTGGAGCAGAGGAAGAGAATTGAAGGGAGGGAGGAGGAACAGGAAAAGAGGAATAGTGGAATGAAATTGACCAAATTTACACACACATCATGGTGAATTTTACCTGTATGTATATCTACAATGCACCACTTAAAAACAAAAACAAAAACAAACAAACAAACAAACAAAAAAAAACAGTAAATAAATAAAAGGAAGACCAGTAGAGTAGAGGAAGAAGAATGGGAAAGGGAAGAGGGGAGGGAAGGAGGAAGTACTGCGGAATGAAGTAAATTATATTCTATATATGTATGATTATGTCAAAATGAAACTCAATATTATGTATAACTATGATTCACCAACAAAAAAAATTTAAAATATAGACTGGGGATATCATTCAGTGGTAAAGTGCTTACCTAGCATGTGTGAAACTCTGGGTTCAGTTCGCAATACCATAAAAAAAAAAAAACTTGTTAAGGGGCTGGGATTGTGGCTCAGCAGTAGAGCGCTTGCCTCACACGTGTGAAACCCTGAGTTTGATCCTCAGCACCATATAAAAGTGAAATAAAGGTATTGCATCCAACTACAACTAAAAAATAAATATTAAAAAAAAAAACTTGTTAAGTCAGTACTCAAACTCAACCATAACCAATTAACTAAATTTAATTTAATTAATTAGGGGTACTTAAATACCCTAATATAATATCTTTATGTGTAGATATATAATAGTATTTTCGTTTATATAATTTTGAAATTAGTTTAAGTAACAAGAAGCAATTTTCCTTTGCATAAACTTTCCCTTACATATTCTGGCTAAAATATACCTAAACTTAAACAATTCTAGTGGTAGCTGTGTGTGAATGGTGGCATATTTAAAGCTATTTGGGATAGAGTTATTTTATATATTTTAGGTGGCAGAAATCCAGGAAAAGTTTTCTTGGCTAATGAAAATACCCCTTGAGGTCAGATATGTTGTCCTGTGCAGCAGGTAACAGGACTAAAGTAAGTTTCTTCTCAGGACCCACTAAACATTTTGAGTTCTCTCAGCTCTAAAAAAGTCAGCAACTGGGCTGGGGTTGTCACTCAGCAGTAGAGTGCTCACCTAGCACATTAGATGCCTTGAGTTTGATCCTCAGCCCCACATAAAAATAAATAAAATAAAGATATTGTGTCCAACTACAACTAAAAAATAAATTTTTAAAAAGTCAGCAACTTGGCTGGGTGCAGTAATGCATGCCTGTAATCCCAGTGATCAGGAGGCTGAGGTAGGAGGATTGCAAGTTCAGCAACTTAGTGAGGCCCTAAGCAAATTAGTGAGATTTTGTTGCTAAATAAATACATACATAAATGTGTGAGGATGTGTGTGTGAAAGAGACAGAGAGAGAGACAGAGACAGACAGATAGATTGTGTTGGGGGCTTGAGAGTAAGAGAGAGTACTAGGGATGTATGTAGCTCAATGGCAAAGCATCCCTGGGTTCAATCCCCAGTACAAAAAAAAAAAAAAAAAAATCAGCATCTCTATTTCTTTCTTTTCTTTTTGTAGTACTGGGAATTGAACTCAGAGGGCAATCTACTACTGAGCTCTATCTCTAGCTGTTTTTTAATTTTGAGATAGGGTATTACTAAATTTTTCAAATTGGTCTTAAACTTGTGATCTATTTGTTTCAGCCTTGTAAGTTGCTGGGAAATCATCAGTACTCTTTTTTTTTGTTAGTTGTTGATGGACCTTTATTTTATTTATTTTAATGAGGTGCTGAGGATCGAACCCAGTGCCTCACACATGCTAGGAAAGCACTCTACCACTAAGCCACAACCCCAGCCCCATCAGTATTCTTTATACAAAATTGTTGGGCCCAAATTTTTAAAGTGTTCCAAAATACAAATTATGTTCACAACCTGTATTTTTAGGTCAAGAAATACCCTAGATATTTGTCCACAACTACTGGTATAGGTAAATGTGATTAATATTCGAGAATAATTTTACTATGCAACAGAGGCAAAGTAGTGAAAACCATTTTTTAATTTTTTTCTCAAATTTAGTCTTCTATATATAACTTTATTTTCAGTGCTTGGGATTGAAGTCTACCATTAAGCTACATTCCCTGCCCTAGATAACACACTTTTTAAATTTTTTTAAAGTTGTAGCTGGGTACAATACCTTTATTTTATTTATTTATTTTTATGTGGTGCTGAGGATCGAACCCAGTGCCTCAATGTGCTAAGCAAGCACTCTACCACTGAGCCACAACCCCTAAGCCAAAACCCCTGTATAACCCATTTTAAGAACATTTTATTAATAAATAAATAAATATATAAAAGCCAAGAGTAGTATAAACAAGCCTTCATGGACCTTTTCCCATCTTCAGCAATTACCAACGTTTTGTCACTTTTGTCATCTAAGCAGCCCACTATTGGGAGGAGTATTTTAAAGCATATCCCACCCTATCAATTCACCCATAAACTTAAGCCTCTTTTTAGACGGTGATTACTCTTTAAACATGAACACAATGCCATTATCACACCTGTTTTATTCAGCAATTTTGCTGCTGCGACTAAAGGGTCTGACCAGCACAATTATAGAGGAGGAAGAGTTTATTTGAGGACTCACGGTTTCAGAGGTTTTAGTCCGTAGAAGGCCGGCTCAATTCCTCAGAGCTCAAGGTGAGGCTGAACCTCATGGCGGGAGAAGATGACAGAGGGAAGCAGCTCCCATCACCAAGATCAGAAAGCAGAGAGAGGGACTCCACCCTCCAGGTACAAATACATACCCCAAAACCATGCCCCAACTCCCACCTCCTCCAGTCACACCCTACCACTTCAGTTATCACACAGTTAATCCCTACCAGGGTATTAAATCACTGCTTGGGTTAAAACTCTCACAGCCCAATCATTTCTCCTCTGAATCTTGCATTGTCTCACATGTAAGCTTTTGGGGCACACCTCACATCCAAATCATAACAACACCTAACACAATATCTTATTGCTGTTCAGTTTTCCTTAATTTCTTTTCATAGTGCTGGGGGGTTGAACCCAGGGCTTCACATAAACAAGGCAAGCACTCCACCACTGAGCCACATCCCCAGACCCCTAATTATTTTTTAGTTGTAGATGGACACAATAGCTTTCTTTCTTTCTTTCTTTCTTTCTTTTTATGTGGTGCTGAAGATAGAATCCAGTGCCTCACATGTTCAAGGCAGGCACTCTACCATTGAGATACAGCCCCAGCCCCGCTAATTTTTTTTTTTTTATACTTGGTTTGTTTAATTTGGCTTCTGAAAATCTCTTTTAAGTTGTTAGTAGTTTCCTGACTGTTTTTGAAATGGTATATGTTTATTGAAGAAACTGAACCATTTAAACTTCATTTATTCTGGGTTTTTCTATTTATATATCCTTTTGATGTCACTAATATGTTCAGATGCCCCTGGTTTCCTATAAACCAGTGGTTAGGTCTAGAGGCTTGATTTGATTCAGGATACTCCTTGTTTTTTCTTTTAGCAGAAATGCTTCATAGGTAATACCTAATATTTCCTATTGATCATAACAGGAGGCACTTGTATTCTCCCATTTAGTAATGTTAAAATTATTCAGTGGGCCAACCTGATTCTTTTTTAAAAAAATATTTTTTAGATGTTGATGGACCTTTATTTTATTAATTTATTTATATGCGGTGCTGAGAATCAAACTCAGTGCCTCACACATGCTAGGCAAGCAGTCTACCATTGAGCCACAACCCCAGCCTGCAATCTGATTCTTTAAGGTTGAAATATTTGTCAATTTTCCCTATTCTCAAGATTTACTATCTTCCAAAACCTCTCAGAAGTAGATAGGCCCTCTTCACTATCTACTTCAGAAAGGGTTATTATTATAAAACCTACTGAGATCCTGTAACTCCAACTTTATGGGTGGATAAGTTTATGAGGACAGCTTATCTAGGGTTAAGTGCCACTTTTGATTTCAAATTGGATGAATTGCTTTTTATAATGTAAAATCAAACTGCAGCAATTAGCTGTCAAGCTAAACACTGAATTATGCAGCTTCCTGATTCATATGCCATTTTATTTACTTTTTGCCTTAAAAAAAGCAAACTTTTTATTACAAATATGTAACAGATTCTAATAATCAAATAAGCACTGTTTCTCTTTAGCATACAAACGGCTAGATGGTTCCACTGAATGCTGTAACAATCACAGCCTCACAGATGTGTGCTTTTCCTACAGAAATAATTTTAATAAACGTTTGGTAAGTTGCCCTGAGGCAATCTTGCTTGTCTGATATAATTATAACAAAATAAGCATAGAAAGCTATAATGGAAATTATGAAAATTTCTCCCTTTTTTCTCTGTTTACTTTGTATCATTTTATTAACATCTCTACATTTCATGTCACATTTTATCTGAGAATCTTTAAAAATTTATACTAATGTAATATCTTATATGACCACGGTGGAATATTTGAAATTAATTTATAGTGTATGCACATAAATGGCAATTCCTTTATGTGAACTTCACTGCTAATATGCTAGTTGACATGAAAAATATTGATAAAATGTAACTTGAATTTAATAAATCATTTTAATATTTACTAATTTATATTTTATTCATAGCATACATGTCTACCCGCCCGGAAAGCAGTTGAAGCCACTCAAGTTTGTAGAACCAATAAAGATTGTAAAAAAAGCTCAAGTTCGAGTTTCTGTATAATACCTTCTTTGGAAACTCACACTCGCTTAATAAAAGTAAAACACCCACCTCAAATTGATATGTTATACGTAGGACATCCACTACATCTTCACTATACAGGTGGGTATTATTGTGGTGGACCTGTAGGAAATTGTTAAAATCACCTATATTTTTAGTGTAGAAATTCAGTAGAAGTCCTTGCATTAAGTTTGTTTATTATAAATTTGATCACTTGTCAAAGTCTTATTTTCTTGTTCTTAAGCATTAAATGAAATTTAGGCAGTAGGAAAATAATCTGAATTTCTGAAGCAAGAAAGAGCCTGCCCATGAATAGTGATGAATTTTTACCTTCCCACTATTTATGTCTAAGTCAAATAGGTGATGTCTTAGAGATGTTCTCTGTGAGTTTATTAAATTATTCAAGCTCCCCCAAATAGTAGCAAGAGCTCCATACCCTAGACAACGCCATGATGTATGGGCATGTATGCATGACACATGAACGTAGGATTACAAAGTTGGGCCAGCATAGTCGTTTTACCAGTAGCAGCCTGATTGAACTAAATATATAACTTCTTCATATGGCTTATATAGTCCAACTCATTTTATTGTACAAGATTCCTAATGTTATTTTTTCTTATAACAATTCATCATACAGTTCACACTTTTAAAATGTACAAATCAATGGTTTTTAATATGTCTTTGTCTCAAAATGAAAAATAAAAAGCTGGGGATATAGCTCGATGGCAACATGCCCTGTACCAAATAAATAAATCCTTAGTATCAAATAAATAAACATAAGGCTTTTTCATTGCTTTGTAGTCATATCCTGATAAACAAATCTGGGTCATTTTTCTTATTTATTCATTTGACACTAAATGACTCTAGACTGCAATTATTCAGTACACCCTCAACATATGAAGATATGTCCCAAGTTTAGATCATTCATAAATGTGTACTGTGGGTTCTGCCTAATTACAGGATAGGTTTTAAGTGTTTTGAACAAAGACAGGATTTTGGAATCCATGGAAGAGGAAGGACTTTAAAGATTGCCTAATCTTAATCCTTGTTTTAGCAATGAAGAAAAAACTGAGACCAAAAATAGATTAAATAGCATAATAATTGGAGTAAATGTGATTTTAAAGTTATAACTCTTTGAAAGGGTAGGAGTTCTTTAATGTAAACTATAAAATGTTTTTTCAAACTCCGTATTTAGTAGTCATATTTGGTATATAGTCCCCTTTATCTTACTCTTGCTTCAAATTATAAATACATACTGGGACATGAATTCTTTCATTCCAATCATTTTATTAGCTATTCTGGAATAATAATTGCTTTTATAGACTGGGCTTTCTCAACCTGTTTAATAGCTAGCCTACATTTTGACCTTATGGTAAAATTTATAATGCTGTTGCTTATCTGATATAAATAATATGCATTATTCCTTGTTTCTCCTTTTTAGTGAGCATCACCAGTTTTATCCCACGTTTCAACTTTTTAAGCATAGATCTGCCAGTGATTGTGGAGACATTTGTTAAGTATCCTTTCTGGTATGAAAAAAAAAAAAAAGTTTTCAAAGTGTTGTTTGGAGATTGGTCAGTTTTACTTTGAATAGAGTATTGGAACCTTACAAGAATCACTTAACTACTAACAACTAAAAAGGAGACTTTAAAGAAGTTGAAAGAGCTTAGACTGTACCTGGGAGGGAAAAAGGAGGAAAAAAAATTATCAGAAAGGGAGAAAGGTTAAGATCTGTAAGGCAAGGAACCCTGAATACAAATTAAAATTTGAATTTACAGGTCTAAAACCTTTTAGTAAGTTTATAAAGGATGAAAGCTTCAGTTACTAGTAAGGTGATGAATTCTGCCCATCTGAGCTTGTTAGTTTTGACTAAATGGAGGACAATTCTTACATACATAACTAGGAATTATGTAAATGCATTTCACTGGTCCACTAAGGAATGCCTAAGGAAGATAAAACCAGTTTACATTAATAAAATAGCAATTCAGAGGACAAAATCTCATGTAGTCTATAGCATATCCTGTTTGCATATAAAAGGTGAATTTTTTAAAAGAAATTGATTATTATGTAATTGGAAGAGTTCTTTATTTTTGTCACTTTTAAATCTTTAACTTTCTTTCCTTGATGATTTGGATCAAAATGAAATGGAGAACAAATGAGCAGTTAATTAAAAAAAAAGTGTATAATCAAGATTGTATCTTGGAGACTCTGCAACTTTGTCAGAGATACTTAATGCTATAACCTTATAGATGATAATAAAATAAAGCAAGGTTCAAGGGTCAAAAGCTTCATTTCCTCAAATGAAGGAAGTCTTTGTAAAGACCAAAAAGTAATTTGGGGACTGGGGGTAGAGTTCAGTGGTAGAGTGCTTGCCTAGTATGTGTGAGGCCCTGAGTTCCATCCCCAGCACTGTCAAAACAAAAAAAGTAATTTTCCCCCAATTTCTTATTCCTTCCACATTTCTTTCCATGGTGTCATTAAAGGATTAGAGAAGCTTAATCTTTCTAGGAGTTCATTATAAATTGGTTTGTCTATAAGTGGTTTGCCTTATTTTTCTTGTCAAGATTTCTGAACTTCAAAATAATATAAACTCTTTTGTTTTAAATAATAGATATAATGGCAGAGATGTTAAAAAATAAAAAGTAGAGAAATCCTTCATAATCTCAAATTCAGTCCCAGAACAGTATCTTCTTGTGACTCTCAGAAAGGTGGTTTCTACTCAGCTCACAGCTGGCTCCTTAACTGATTTTAACTCAGGTATCTGATTTCCCTCTCCGGAGCACTGGCTATTGTTAATGCAGTGCCCTGCTTTGCTTTGGATGGTCAGTGGATTTTAAACTCTTTCCTGGATGCCACCCTTACTTCAGTGATTGGAGACAACGATGTCAAAGATCTGGTAGGATTTATCATCCTACTTGGTGGCAGTGTACTTTTGGCTGCCAATGTGACGCTAGGACTCTGGATGGTTACAGCACGGTAATATTTGCATTCATCTGACAAGTCTCTGAGTTACAATATACATCTACGTGGTAATGTCCATTGCCATTGAAATCATTACTTGGTATGAAATGTAAAGTGTTTCCTTAAAATTACATTTTGGCCTACATCTTTATGCTCCTCCTGTATCCAGAGTACCCAAACTAGTGGTAGAGGATGAGCAAAAGAAATGAAAGGCATAAATCCCTAACTACATTCTAGTTTTATTTTATTTTTTTTTTAATTTTTTATTGTTGGTTACATTCTAGTTTTAAAGACTGAATGTATGCATTTCACATGCTTGTGGAACAATTTTTAAACAAGTGAAAATTCATTCTTTTAATATCATTTTGTGTGACCACATACTGTCTTGAAATAGTATAAAGGAGAACAGAATCAGGTGGAAGTAATTAGGAAAAACTTAAAAGCACCATTAATCTAGATTTAAGGAAGACCAGACTTTGGCCAAGTGGAAGGGTGAATGTGTTGTTGGTCTACATCACTTGTCATTTTTCTTGAAAAGTATTTTATAGTTTATTGGTGTATTATTTTGTACTTTGAAAACTGTGAGAAGTCTGATTTTAATTAAATTAATAAACTTCTAAAAAAAGAATTTGCTTACATGAAAGGGAAAATCTTTGTCAAATGATAGCAAATAAAACCAAAATCGGAAACAGGGCCAATGATATGAGATGGCTTTGTCCCACAAGCATTATATTCATTGATGATGTATCTCCACATCATGAAGAAGCACTAACCTTTGATATTCAGAGCCAGCTGCATGAAGTGTCTCACACCAGCAGCTTGTGAGCTGAGGCAGTTAGGACCAAACCTCAGAAGTCAACTGGGTCCTCTGACAGATCACAAGACGAACCCAGGATCTTCAGTAGACCTGGTTACCATTCTCTTATAGAGGTTTGAAGCTTAGAGCTCTTCCAGGGTAGACATTTTCTCTTGTGCTACCAAGGCCATCTGGGGCCTATCTTTAAAAAGCAACAACTTTAAACCCTGAGCCATACTCTGTCCTCACCAGCGGCTCCCATGTTTCTCTGTGTTGGGTAGTTAAACACCTAGTCCTTGCTTTCTATCTCCCCTAAGCTACCTCTGCGGGTCCATAGAAGACTTGGTAGTATATTGAGAATGGCTGCATGTGAAAGGGGACAAATTTGGATTTGCCAGAGCCTAGGAACAGACTCTTGAATCTGAAAGAGCCATACCTGGTTTAAGGTCTTATGGAATGAAGATGCAGCACTGGGAAGTTTGGGAAGTCAACAGGCCATCGTGAAGCAGTTGGTCTTTGAAGTGTTATGAGCATGCTGGTTCTTTGATGAAAAATATACACTTCTCTCATACACTCAAGAAGTGATAAAAGGCAATAACTTATTAATAGCCATGTATCCAACTTCTTCACTAAGTGAGGTACTCTATGGATTACCTTTGTCAGATCATTAGTTGCTCTTTCAGCACTAAAACTTTTAAATCATTTTTAAGAAACTTTTTAGATTGTATTAGAATTTTACCTTGCTTCTTAAACAGAAATTATATTTTGAATAATTTTAATCTTTTATTAATGACTTGGGTCATCAGTCAATACCCCAGTACTAGAACCATGCAAATTATTGGTTATCCCAGAAAACATGGCATTTGTTCTACTCTTAGGTAGAACAGTCATTCTGGACCAAAATGTATTAGCCTAGTAATGCTTAAACCTGTTTTGGTAGTAGACCTTAGAGAATGCTCATGAAATACTTATGTAATTAACTTGTTTACATTTGAATTAAGCAGTTTACTAATGAAAATGTATGTGTGCAAGTCAATTTTTTAAAAATTTAGGGAAAAAATTATGTGTGTGTGGTGCTGGGGATTGAATCCAGGGCCTCATGCATGCTAGGCAAGCGTTCTGCCACCGAGCTATACCCCAGCCCAAGAAAAAAATTTAATACAGGAAATCCTATCCATTAGCTTCTTTTTCTGGATAAAAACAAAAACGCAACCTTATATTATTTTAGCTTTTAAATACCTTGCTCTGTTGATCCATAGGGTTAGGATTTGGAAACACTGTCATAAGAAATTGAGCAGATCAGTACTGTTTGTATAGAAATGGCCTCATTGTATAAAAAAGGAAATGTTATGTGTTGTTTTTTTTAGCTTGACTATGGGCTCTTCTAGATCAAGGACTATGTCATATTCAGCTTTGCATCCCTGGCACAGTGCATGAGACATCATAAGTACTTAATTAATGTGGTTGGATGGATGGTGATTAGTGTTATTTATGGATTAGAAAAGCATGTTTCTATTTAAGCTGTAAAGTATTATTGAATATTTACTGTAAATATATGTTAACATAAAAAAAGAAAAAAACCTTGGAAGCTCTTTATGTCCCTGGCATATTATCATCTTTCTGGAAAGAATTCATTTTGGTTTCTGTAAAGTGATTAGAAAAAATTAATTATTTTGAGGATTTGAAGAAAGTGTTCTGTGTTGTCACTTTGTTCAACAGTTAAATTTTTATTCTCAGTGTTCCTACTCTGCGTTGTTTACATTTTTGAAAGTTTTTTTTAATCACCTACACTCTGTAGAGAATGTATATATTTTTTTCAGCATCTCAGTTTGAAAAGACACGCAGTTAAACCTGACCTTTTAATAATATAATAACTCTGCTAGGTCTTTGTCTGTTCTAATAGCAAATTGTAAATGTGTGCTTCATGGTTATGTGATTTTCAGCCATCATTTTGTCCTATGGTATTTATTGAATGTCCACATACTGATGGTACACAGGTATTTTTTTTTTCTGTAGATCTTTTGACCGTGCTGTAATTCATTCTTAAGCTTTAACTTGAAGGTATCATAATTGCCAGTGTTTGGTGTTTAGCAATAAAAAAATAAATGTTTATCAGCATTTTATGTTTGTCATAATCTATGTGTTGTCTTTTTTAAAAAAATGTACTCTGTTCTGTCAAAATTGTTCTGCTTACATAGAGTAAGATCTTAATCATTTAAAAATTCCTGATCTAAAAGCAGCCTTCAGTTTTTATTCATATAAAAGTTGTTGCAGGCCTTGAAAAGAAATCTTTTAAACAAGATTCCTGTGTTCACTATTATCTTGGAAATGGCTGGTTTATGGATGAAGAAAAAGGACTATCATGTTTCCTTAGTGTGGACAGAATTCTCCTGTAAGTTCATCTGTGTTTTGGGGAATTCCTGAAAAAAAGCATTTTAACTGTAACATTTGGTTTCTTCTTGACCTTTTGCCCCCCTGCTTCCTCCCTTGTTCCTAGGGCCAACCTTCCCCCATCCCTGCCTTCCTCCCCTCTCCCTGTGTGTGTGTGTGTGTGTGTGTGTGTGTGTGTGTGTGTGGTGTTCTCTCAGCTGGGAATTTAGCCCAGTTCCTGATTAGCTATCCTCATTCACTCCTCACCTCTGATCATGTTACACTACAGTTAAGAGCCACAAGACTAAGTGACTGATTAGCTAAACCACTTTTTTAAAAACACCTTTATTGAGGGGCTGGGGCTGTAGCGAACGTGCCTGGTATTTGTGAGGCACTGGGTTCGATTCTCAGCACCAAGTATTAAAAAAATAAAGATCTATCAGCAACTAAAAAATATAAACAAAAACATCTTTATTAAGATAAATACTATAAAATCCACCCATTTGAAAGTGTGTGATTCAATGTAGAATCATTTTTCTTTTAGTGTCTTATCAAACAAAAGCATACATGTGTGTTATGGTTTGGATATGAGATATCTCCCCCAAAACTTACGTTAATGAAAGAATCTTCAGAGTTGTAATGATTAGATTGTGAGAGCTGTGACCCCCTAGTTTGAATAAACTAACTGGGTGGTAACTGTAGGTAGGTGGGGCATGGCTGAAGGAGGTGGGTTGCTAGGGGCATGCCCATAGGGATTATATTGTTTTCCCCTGGCTCCTCTTTTCTTCTTTCTCTGCTTTGTGGCTACTGTGAGCTGAGCAGCTTTCCTTCACCACACCCTTCAACCATGATGCTCTGTCTCATCTTCCACAGCAATGGAACTGACCAACCATGAACTGAACTTCTGGAACTGTGAGCTAAATTTTGTTTTCTCCTTTAAGTTATTCTTTTCAACTATTTTGGTCACCGAAACAAAAACCTGACTATATACTTTATTTTAGTCTAACTGAATACTTGTACCTGTGATAAGACTGGGAGGAAAACAATTACATTCAATTATTTCACAACTATATTAACCTGGGGTGGTTTTTAGCGCCAGAATAAAGTTGAAGTAAAGGCAAAGTATGCGCATATACTTTCTTTGAGAAAAGCCTTTTTAATCAGTACACTTCCGAACTCCTCTTACTATTTAGGAAACACTAATTTGAATAATCCATTGTATATTTTATCAGGCCATGTCAGATGAATTCAATGAAAGGAAAAACTATTTCGGAATCTAGTGCTACAATAGGTTACACTCAGAGTGGAGGTAGAGAAAAATGTCTAAAGGAAGTTGTAATTCTAATTACAAAACAATTAATAATATTGTATATTTCAATTTCCCACTAAAGGGGGGAATCCTTAATAAGTTTATTTAGCTATTAACAGATAATCAATAATTGTCCTGTCTTATTAACTGAATACTTCTCAAACTTTTCTATTGATGTGTTACATTGTAATAGAGGGAAAACCCAGAAGGATCTAAGAATATAATTCTGTAATTGACCCTCCACAGTATAAAACTGAAGTCTCACTTTATCTTAAATTCAAGTGGATTTTGCATTCCATTAATCAGCTATCATAAAGCCAGCTCTCCTCTTAAAGATATGAAATGCTATACTATAAAAGGTTTAAATTGCAAGAATATTAAGATTTTCACCCTTCTAAAACCTATTGATGTAAAGTAATTTATAGCAGCTGATCTATATATTACTGTTATCTATGATGGTACTTTGGTCCATCTGTAGTGAAATTAGAAGAAGATTGTGTATATTTTCTTTAGTTACAACAATGTATGTGTGATGCTATAAGTCTGCCTGCTACCCTTTATCAAAGTGCTCCCCTTTATTGCAGTGTGGAAACAATTTTTTTAGCACTGCCAGATTGTACTCTATAATGGCTTTTTTATAATTGACATTTTTAGGGACAAAGCATGAGGTTTCTATGTTTTCCTATACCCTTATCTCCTACTAAATTATATGACTTCCAGGTTTTGACAAATCTATTGGATATAAATTGACAATTCTAAGCAATTTATGTTTCTTAGATTATTCCTTTTTCATGGCGGGGCAGGTACCAGGGATTGAACTCAGGGGCACCCAAACACTGAGCCAAATCCCCAGCCCTATTTTTTATTTAGAGCAGGGTCTCGGTGAGTTGCTTAGCACCTCGATTTTGCTGAGGTTGGCTTTGCATTTGCTATCTTCCTGCCTCTGCCTCCCTTCCCAGCTGCTGGGATTACAGGTGTGCAACACTGTGCCTGGCTTCCTAGATTATTCTTAAAGTTGCACACCCATATACTTATTTGTCCATTTCGATTTTTCATTCTGCCAGTTGCTCATTGCTATCCATTGCCCAGCTTTCCACTGGGTGTCCTAATTTCTCTTATTGATTCATAGGAATTCCTTATGTATTCTAAATCATTGGTCAACAGACTACAGCTTGTAAGCCAAATCCTGATTACTATGGATTTTTGTAAATAAAATTTTATTGGAACACAGCCACATTCATTCATTTACATATTGTCTGACTGCTTTTTTTCTACAATGGCTGAGTTGAGCAATTGCAGCAGAGACTGTATAGCCCACAAAGCCTAAAATATTTGTTATATTTTATAAATCCACAAAAGAACCCATGTTCCAGATATCAATCTCTTGCCCATTTAAGATGTTGCAGATCTATTCAGCAGGCTGATGCAGGAGTGTCACAAGTTTGAGGCCAGCCTGGGCAACTTACCCAGACCCTGCCTCAAAGTTTATAGAAAAGGGCTGCAATTTAGCTTAGTGGTGGAGCACTTGCCTAGCTTGAACAGATTCCCTGGGTTTGATCCTCAGTAGCAGGGAAAAAAAATGTTGCAAAGGATTTTTCACAGGCTATTATACATCTGTTAATTTTATTTATGAGGTCCTTTGTTGAGTAGGATCTTTAGTTTGATACAGTCAAATTTATTAATTTCTTGGTTTATTATTTGTGTTTTGTGCATCTTATTTAAAAAGCCCTATCCTGTCCCAAAGTCATAATAATATTCTACATTTTCTTTTCTATTTTAGAGTTGTACTTTCACAAGGAGATTTTTTTAAATAACTTTATTTATTTATTTATTTATTTATTTTTATGTGGTGCTGAGGATTGAACCCAGGGCCTTGCACGTGCCAGGTGAGTGCTCTACCGCTGAGCCATAACCCCCCAACCCCCTTTAATATTTATTTTTTAGTTGTAGTTTGACACAATACATTTATTTTATTTATTTATATGTGATACTGAGGATCGAACCCAGGGCCTCGCACATGCCAGG